GTGTGTGTGTGTGTGTGTGTGTGTGTGTGTGTGTGTGTGTGTGTGTGACCGGCATAACACTCACTACGGGTTGTGTAGAGAGCAACTAGTGCGTCCGTGGCAGAACACGAGGTATGCTCCGATGAGCGTGCAGGCCGCGAGACAAAATGAAAACTTCATCAACCAATGTGAAAGGACTGGCGTGGGTGGTGTTGCAGGACTGCGGGAGAAAGCTGCTTGTATGACCACTCGTCTAACGTATAAATAGGTATTTGTATGAGTTACAAAATCGTATACGCGCGTGGTCGGAGATTTATCGAGATTCCTGTAGCATCGGACGACCGCTAAACGAACCTCGGATACTTCAACCTGAACATTGTTCACAAAACATTGTCCATCCATCCGTGTACCCTTTAATATATACAATTGCTTTAAGTATTTATATATTTATGCGTGTGTGCGAGGGTACGTATCTTACCGATCTAAATGACTGTTTCGATTTATCATCCGGCATTTTACACTCTACTTACTTAAATCCTTCAGCATCGAAATACTACCTTGTTTTCCCGGAAAACTTCAATATCCAAAAACTCATGTACAGTACATAAACGTACGATATTTATTACGTCTGCTGACTTCCGTACTCTGCGTTGGTTATTGCGATGCGCAGCTGTGTATCCGTCTTCGCGAATATATTGAACGTTCGACACTAATGTGCGTGTCCTTGTATGTACATACGAATACCTTCTGTTTGTAAATTAAAATTTTCTAAATTAGTCGGCAGAAAATCGTTAAGTGTATGTTTTTTATATCCTTCGTCCATATCATGCAGCACAGCCAGCCATGCAACATGGAAACATGTCGAAATTAAAATACTTATTGACTCATATTTCTACATTTTATAAGTAGAACCTTTTCAAGATTTCTTTGAATTTTTTTTATACATGCATTTTAAAAAAATATTGAATTCATTAATATCTATGGTCAATACGCTTTCATTGATAAATAATGTCGCTAAATAACTAAAACAATAATAAACCAGTACACATATCTATTACATAAGGCATTTCCTATCAAACTATTATTACATTAACGTATAATTTAAATTGTTGTCATGTCTTGAATATAGACCAATTTTTGTTTACCTTTTATATGATTGTTATGAGTTTATAGCCTTACTATAAATAATGCATTTCTCATATATAATTTAATAATGCCATCGTTTAATTTTAAAAATGCGTTAAAATAATTTCTGTTTCTAACATGCTACGCTTCCTCAATGTAAATCCTTCAAATAAGTTGCACTAAATTGGTCTTGGACAACCACGTTGTCATGTACAAACTCAGTGATATATGTGTTTCAATAGTTTATGTATGTGATTCTTATTGACTGCTGTTATTTGATTGCATCGCAAATGTATTTTCACTTCGATTTCAAACCCAAGCTCTTAGTTATAGTTAATGTTTATTTAAGGCTCTAGTAATCAATTTTTGACTCCTAACTATTGGTTATGATCTTTTGCCTTGTTTTCGTACTCTTACATATAAGTATGTTCTCAAAAATAAATATTTATTTATCTTATTTGAAGAATATATGTTTGATATTTTAAGTATACTATATATTTAATATATACACTTACAACTGTGAACTAATTAATTCGAAAATTTATAAATGTACAAATTAATTACCATTAGTTATTTTTTGTATTAATATATGATATGAATAATAATAATTTCAATACATTATTATCTTTATAATTATGAATAAATAAATACGTTTAATAATATACCCATACATTTTTCCTATGTCAATTTTAATTTAATTTGAATATCCCAAAATATATTGACATTATTCAATTTTACGGTGTGAATTATTTTGTTTATTTATAGAACTATTTTTTTTTTTTTTTTTTTGTACAAATAAATGCATTTTTACAATGTATGTTTTATAAATTTGCTCACATAGATAATATAGATAATATATTTACAATAAATATGTATTTAGTCTTACAAAGTTGTAATCTAATAAAATATACACCTCTAAATTAATGTTTAAATTCAAAATTACAAGTGAGTGTAATAATAAATATATTTTTTAAAAAGTACGTGTTAAGTATAAATTATATTTTGTGGATCTATTGTGTTTCACATTATAAATCAAACGTGTCTCGGCGATTGTTTTAAAGGACTTTAGACCAAAATTTATTGTTTTTGTATATCCTACTTGCTAGTTGTGCAATATATACGAGTACGTTCCGTATTTTTAAAACTATAAGTTCTGGGTTTTAAACGTTTTGTTATATTAATGTGAAGTAATAGTAGGAGCAAAAAAGATTTATTATATATTATTCCTATAGTTTGTTCTCCTATTCAATACAAATAGTTTTAATTTTAAATATTATTAATGTGAGTTCGGCTTAGTTTTTAGTAATACCAAATCGGTAACTTTATGGATACTTTAATCAAAAAATATAAGCTTCCTACAATATTTTTTTTAATTTGAAAATACATGTTTCTTTTTATTTATTTTGCATGTATTATAATTATATACATGATTTATATTTTATTGATGATGCATTGTTTGTTTATTTAATTAAAAAAACAAGGTACAAAGATATTATGTTTTATTATTTTTTATAACATTTTTTCATAATATTATCTTAATAAGGTAATTGATAATTTTGTAATTTGTTCACTATTCTTTACTTTTATTGTACTTTACTCGATAAACTTTATAAAATGATAATCAATAATAGTTCTTGTAATACAAAAATATTTTTCTTAGTGGATATTTTTTTTAAATTCAACAATAATTTACTTTATAGATTTAAATATTTTTACTCTGTATTTATATGTTGTTATATGTCAATTAACAGATCAACAGCACTTTTAATTCTTTAAACAATGAAAAATGTTTGTTTTTTCTATTTAATTATAATAATTAATAACAAAATAGTTTATATTCATATAAAAAAAAAATCGATAATTTCAGCAGTATTATATCAGTAATGTAGCATTATTATAGCAGTATTATACCCTAGAGCTATAAAAAAATATAAGGTATTATCATAAATAGATTCGATGATTTCGTTACCTTCAGCTACATATAGTTTTTATAATTGTATGAAGTGTATATATAACTGCGAATTAAACGATGTAATTGATGACTTCCCTTGTGTGTTTACAGCCAAAACACTCCACAAAGCTTTTGAACGTTTTGAGACAGATGCCACAAAGGAATGGCCCCGATGTCTTCTTTAGTTTCCCGGGAAAAAAAGGATCGGTAAGCATCTGTGTATTACAATTGTATTCGACGCGCTCTCAACTATTTTTAACTAATACGTTTTGTTGCTCAGGCTATTGTTTTGCCTCCGCTAGCGAAATGGCCTTATGAGAATGGTTTTACGTTTTGTACGTGGTTCCGTCTAGATCCCATCAACTCGGTGAACATCGAACGTGAAAAGCCATATTTATACTGGTAATGATTAAATGTTCAGGCGATTATTTCCTCTCTAAACGAATGTAAAATTGTATGGTTATTATTATTTCTATTATAATTTTATTGAATTTTCAGTTTCAAAACGAGTAAAGGTGTAGGGTATTCCGCCCATTTTGTGGGAAACTGTCTGGTGTTGACCTCGATGAAGATTAAAGGCAAAGGGTTTCAACACTGTGTGAAATATGAATTTCAACCCCGAAAGGTACTTTTCCCCTCCTGCCTTCGAACTCATTGGTTGGAATATAATATTGAAACCGTTAATCTGTTGTAGTGGTACATGATAGCAATAGTATACATTTATAACCGGTGGACTAAAAGCGAAATCAAGTGCGTTGTCAACGGTCAACTAGCGTCGAGTACAGAAATGGCTTGGTTCGTTTCTGCCAACGAAGTAATTATAATTTCTATTTATTTAAAACTGTTTTTTTTTTCGACCTTTATATGAGTACATGCAATATGGGTTTTGTATGGCATTTTATGATTTCATGCATATGTGTATTATACTTTTCATTCTACAGCCTTTCGATAAATGCTATATTGGGGCGACGCCAGAACTGGACGAAGACCGCGTGTTTTGTGGTCAAATGTCGGCCATTTATTTGTTTAGCGAAGCTTTAACAACTCACCAAATATGTGCCATACATAGATTGGGTCCAGGATATAAAGTAAGTAATTTATCCACGTTAGAATATCTTTAGTTTAAATTTAATGCACTTAAAATTATGTATTATTATATCCATCCAATAGCAATTTTTAACAAAAAGATTTAAACGTGAAACATCATTTATGTTAATTAATGTACTTGAAATCGAAATCCTGTATGTCTTTAGTTGAAATAATGACTTTGTTCAACCATTAATTTTTAAATTATTAATTATTATTAATCATTATTGTTCATTTAAATGTTTTTTTTTTTTTTAGTGTCAATTTCGTTTTGACAATGAATGTCATTTAAGTCTACCAGAGAATCATAAAAGGGTGAGTGATTTTAAGAGTTTGAGCCAAACCCAGAATTCAGATTTTTCTCGCATGTCCCAGCACGCTGTTGATAGTTCTGTAAGACTTTTGTTTCGTTCGTTTTTTTATCTTGCACTTTGTATTAATTATTTTTGTTTGTTTTTAGCTTCAGTCAATAATATAAGTCCAATACACGATAAATATAATATTTTTTAATATGAAAAAACTGAAAACTATTGATTATTTCGTAATTTAGTATGAACGGTTTTTAAAAGTAGGTTTTCGTTTACACATGATTCAGCGTTTAATTTTTAAAATCTAGAAAATATAAATTGTATCTTACTGTGATTTTCTAGGTATTTTTCGTCTTATTTAAATTCAGGATCGTTATTACTTTGCTTTGTGTGATATTTTGGGTTGACATTTTGCCGTTTTTCCTTTTTTTTTTTTTTTTGTACACTCAATTTTGTTCCGTTTCGACCAATCTAATGTAATATTTATTGGAAAATATTATATTTTTAGGTGATCTGAGCACTCTTGAGAAATGTATACCCTTAAGTCATGGAACATCAAAGGCGAATTACTTATTGTATTTTTATATTCATATATGTGTATATTCAGTAAATTCGATAATCTAATTTCATTGGCCCATGGGATAAGCTTAAGATTGAAAATTATTACTGTAAATTGGTGAATATGCACGTGTATTACATAAATAAATAAAATATATTCATAATATTTTATAAATCGTAAATTACAAATTCTCGTAAATTCATATTATTCTAATATGTACTGTATTGAAAAAAAAAGTATAATTACTGAACTACTTCAATATACACTGTCGGGAGATGACTTTTATTCAATTGAGTGAAAATATTTTTTCTCAATGCAACTTATATCATAATCCTTACCCATTTAACGATTATAATAAATTGCCTTTCAATACAAGTATTTTTAATTCAGTAATTAATTATTTTAATTTAAGGTGTGTTTAAATCGATTAAGCATAAGTTTACATTGAATTTATTGGTATTATAAAGACATCATAGGGTCTCATATATGCAGGCGTAAGATGTTTAAACTTATGATTTGCCAATTTGTTTGGTTGGAAATTACTCGCCGTTTATTTAGTATTTTCTAAATACTTATGGTTTCTACTGTAATCAAACAAACGTATACGTAGGTACAGTGAGAAGTAAGATTTATCATAAGGACCTAAGTAGATTATAACTTATAATTTTTTTTATTTATTCTTTGGTTTAAATTATACTCTGTAATTTGTGCATTTTTTTTTAATTGCATTAACATTTTAAATAATGACTTTAGGTCTTAGCCTTTGGTATGATTCATTGTAGTTAATTTGCATAAATTACGTGTTTGAGTACGAAGCTATACTGTAAACGTTAATTTTTGATAATTTGATTTATATTCAAAAATGTATTGTTTACAATAATATTTTAGAGAAATGTTTGATTTTAAATTATTGGTGAGTATGGGACTATTTAGTAACGTATTAATTTCACTAAAATTTGATAATGTATTTCGTACTTGTATTATATGTGTATTCTTGTTAAATTTATTTTTATTTTAGGTTTTATATGATGGTAAATTATCTAATGCCATAGTGTTCATGTATAATCCTGTTGCCACTGATGGTCAGTTATGTTTACAATCAACTCCTAAAGGAAATGCATCGTATTTTGTACACACTCCACATGCACTCATGTTACAGGTAATATCCTACTACTATTACTGATATGTACTAAATTGTAATTGGTTAAAATCATATCAGCTATATAGGGGTTGCCTGTCATCAGGTATAATAACAAAAAAAAAAAAAAAATGATTCGTTATTTTTACAATTATATATGTTTTTAACAGGATGTGAAGGCTGTTATCACGCACTCCATACACAGTACCCTAAATTCTGTTGGTGGAATACAGGTGCTATTTCCATTATTTGCTCAACTTGATTTGTCCGCAGAGCCTATGGATAAAAAAGACGCTTCTATATGGTATGTAAATACACTCGTATTTTATTTTCTAAATGTTTGTTATAAAATTCGTATTGACACACTGGATTTGATAAATCGAATCTTAGATTTAGCTGAATGAAATAAATTAAAACTTATTTTTTTTCTATTGTATTATTAAAATAAACTGTTTTTGATTTTTTTTTTTTTTTTATCTCACTGCTTTTTAATGGAATTATTTATTTTTAATAATATTTTTCTTTGGTTGAAAGTATCATTTTAATTAAAAGAGTTTTTGATATAATTTTACTCTCAGAAAATAATATATTTTTTGTTATATTTTGGTAAAACTTACCAAATTTAAGTAAAATGAGAAAGGTTTAACTTATAACATTTGAACGTTACGTCATGTACTTCATACGCTGGTTTTTTTCTAGTTGGAAATTATTGGGTTTCATTTGTGATATGGTTGAAACATCTCAGACCGTACAGCAGCATATGATCCAAAATCGAGGATTTCTAGTCATCAGCTATATGCTACAAAGATCATCTAGAGACCATTTGACGCTGGAAGTGTTAGGTTCATTTCTTCGGCTAACCAAACATCTGGTCACTTGTCTCACTCCCAACAATGAGTTGCTATTAAAACAGGTGAATTATACTACGCCATTATATTACATCATATGAACTGATAAAACGTATGTAATGCAAGAAATTAATTTACATTGGAATTTGTGTTTGAATTTCATCAGATCCTAGATCACATACTTTTCAATCCTGGCCTTTGGATATACACGCCGACCCATGTACAAACCAGGCTATATACGTATCTAGCGACTGAGTTTCTCTCAGATACCCAAATCTACTCGAACGTACGGAGAGTGTCTACCGTGCTACAAACCGTACACACGCTTAAATATTACTACTGGGTAGTGAATCCGAGGAATAAGAGCGGCATTGTACCAAAAGGACTCGGTAAACATGAACAAAACGACTTATTTAATTTGTTTTAAGCATTTACGCTTTGAAGAGTACACACGTATTGTATTCACCCTTACGTAATGTTCTTATTTTTTTTTCCAGACGGTCCTAGACCAGCTCAGAAAGACATATTGATCATTCGTGGTTACATTTTACTGTTCCTCAAGCAGTTAATGATGCTAGGAGTAGGTTTAAAAGAAGACGAACTCCAGAGTATTATTAATTACCTGACGACTGGTGAGTGCAAACACGTTTTATCCCAATTAATATATGATTAATATAGCCCATTTATGTGATTGTTGTACATGCGTGCTTATAGTTTGCGAAGATGAAAATCTGCACGATGTACTTCAAACACTAATGTCACTCATGTCTGAACAACCAGCATCTATGATACCGGCTTTTGACGTGAAACACGGTGTGCGGTGTGTGTTCAAATTGGTTGCATCCGAAAGCCAATTAATTAGACTTCAAGCATTAAAGCTCTTAGGATTCTTCTTGAGCCGCAGTACACACAAGTAACTAAATTAAAATAAATCGGAAGTGTCTGAATGTGAATCTTATATTGCCGTATATAGTCAATGTGTACAGGACTAAATAACGGTACAATTTACTTGCAGGCAATAAAATAATTCTATTTTAAATTTTATAGAAATTATAAAATTTTATATTAAATAAAATAAAATACTTAAATAAACGTATAAAAATAAAGTGTAAACTTTATTTACATTTCATAAACAAAATCGAATATATATATATATATACTATTTAATTTATATGATACATTTTAGATTAAAATATATAATAACTATGATTCATTTATAATTTTAGAAGAAAATACGACGTAATGAGTCCTTATAATTTATACACTTTGCTGTCGGAGCGATTAATGTTGCATGAAGAAACTATTACACTACCAACTTACAATGTTCTCTACGAGGTTAGTATATAAAAACAATAAGTATATTCTAATTATCACTAATATATGAAGTTCTTAACGATTTTTTTTTAAACATGTTTACATGTAAAAACAACTATTACTTTCTCGTACAATGTTATTCATTTTAGCCAAATAAATGTTTATCAATTAGACCATTTTAATTAACTTTATTATTTTAGTAAAATGTTATATATTATTCATAAACTTGTAATTTCTTGAACTTTTTTTACCGTTTTATTTTTAATTAAATTGTATCGAAAATGTAAATAGTTTATCAATATACTGGCTCGTATTTTATATCTTATATTTACAAACTGATGGAAATTCGATTGAGTTTAATGAAATGTGTGCTCATTTTTTATTCAACAGGCAATTCAAATCATTATTTTACTTGGAAATTATTAGTCAATTGCATTTTTACTTTATACATATATAGTTTAAAAAAACTTGCAACCATTAATAAAATAAAAAATAAATAAAAATATAGTAAAATTGTGTCTTCTACATGTGTATGATATAATAATACGTCATGTTAAAAAGAGTTTCTATTCGATAAATTCAATATGAAATAGCTCTGTTAATAAGTAGAAGTGCAAACTAAATTTTAATAAGATATGAGAATGAAATAGTTAAGTAAATGACATAAATTTGTTTTTATTACTCCAAAATCATAAGGTTTTTATTGCCCAGAATAAATCTCTATAATATATTCCCTAGTGAATCATTTTTGTCGTCTTGTCTTAGGATTATATGATATTGTATATGGAAAAAAAAACATGAAAAATATAATAAAACTGTTCGAGTCTCTGTCAGACCTAAGGGAATATTTTCATAGAATTGGTTATGGATCAATAAATTTTTTTTTTTTATTTTTCAAGTTCTTATAACGTGATCATTTGATGTTGAAATAATTATTCACAAATTCTGTGCGAGAAACAAGCTGTCGAATAATTGTTTTCAGCTTCACTACTTGGGTCAAATGTGCATTATAACATATTTTTTCGATTTTCATAAATCGGAAATTATCCATTTTTCACTGACTTTTTTTTTCCATTCAGCGAAGTCAAATTCTGTCAAGAAACAGATCAAACATAACTAAATATTTTAAAGTTTCTTTTAGTACTAGTACTTCTTCGTATTACACAAAGTGTTTAATTTTTTTTGTGTATTTTAAATAATTTTATTTATGATGAATAAAATACAATGTAATACGTAAATTATTTATCCTTTTATCTGTCAAATTTTTACAAATTTTTACAAATTACATTATACCAGTTCCGTGGTGACTAAATATTTTTAATGTCGAACTTTTATAATTCGTACATTTATTTTTTATTTTTGATTCTGACCTAACCTTTTTTATCCCATGCTATAGCCCCTCGTGAACATCAATTATTAATTAAATAAAATAATTTAAATTTGAAATAATTTGTGACAGTAATATTAATTTCCATGTTGTAATTCTTATTATATGTCAATTTTATTACTTATTACATATTTGATGATTTTATAAAGCTATTACATTTTTTATTGAATAATTTTTAATTTTTTATTATTTTAGAAAGATAATTGTGATAATATGTGTTTAATGTACCTAATCAACTAAACTTGAACATTTATTATTATAAAATAATTATCTAAGTAATTGCATTAATATTGCAATTTAATAAATATATTTCTTAAGTTTTGAATAAACTATTATTTGATAATAAATAATTTATTGTATTAATTATAAAATAATTAAATTTATTAAATATAACTCGTATTATAATATGATGCATATGATATAGATTATTATAATTTAAAAAAAAATATTTTCTTATATTTAACTAGCTGAATTACCCGTCGTTGCCGGGTTTAAGTATATAAATGTATGTAACCTGCCAAGATTAAATTTTGTTAAATCTGTTGAAATTTAAATTAATTAAGATTTTTGAAATAATATTTTATACATATTAATTTAGTTATTATCATAACCTATTCGATAAGTTATAGCTTACAACTACCTGAACCTCTCTACAGTTTGGTATTCTGTTGAATACATATAGCATCTCACTTCTCCGAATATTTTACCTTTTGTCAATAAGTTCATGGTCTTTTTGACTTTTAACCGAAACACTCTTGCAATTATATCATGTCGATCATATGATCTTTGACCGGGAAGTAAGAGCTCTTTTATCTCGTCCCAGCGAGGATTACACGTAAAAGTAATAAAAAGGTCAGGACGACCGTAATGTCTAACGTAGGTCATAGCATCTTGTGTTCTTTCGTGCATGTACCTTGGCCCACCAGTAAAAGTTGACGGGAGTATAACCATTTGGCCTAACTGATTAGCTTCTATGTCTCGTCGTCCAATCGCATCTTTTAAATGAATATAACTATCTGCACGCAATTTGGCTTGGTTGTTTTTGATGTAATTTAGTCTTTCAGTTTCAATTTTGGCGTATTCATCTACCAAATATTGACTGAAAAAAAGAACGATAATTAACTAAATAGTTGTCTTCCCCTTCTCTGACCATTATTCTATATGAGTAAAAACTTGATGCAGAGAGAGTTTTTTTAAGCGGTAACTTGGTTTTTGGATCGCGTTGTGATATATTGATTGCGTACCCATCATCCCCCCAACAAAACATTAAAGGATACTGCAGTGCGTCGTATGCTCGATGTATCTCACTGATACGGTGAAGTGAGTTACTTCGGTTTTCGAGGATGATGTCTCTTCGATCAAACTGCTGATCTACTAACACTAAAGCAACTTCATTTGCCGTTGGTGCATTATACCTGCCTCTATGTTCTTCTGGTGGTTTTTTATCTGCATGTATTACAACTTTAAATGACTCTGAAGGAGGTATTTTATCGATGGTAAATTGTAATGATCAATTATAAATTATGCGGTGGCATGCCTAGTAAATCCAATGAGTTTAAAAACTCTATTGGATAATTTACAACTTCAGTAGCATCGCAAACTGTATCTAGATTAGTATGACACCAAGTTTTCTGGTAACAAATTTTGTATCTTGAGATTCAATTCGTTGACCTCCACATTTTTTGCTACTAAAATTGCTCTTTCTGCCAGCCACTCATGATTTGTGTATTGTCTGTGTAAACTGGGACATATCTGGTCAATGAGAGCATCTTGCGAATAAATGATTGTGCAGAAATCGTTCGGTAATTTTATACATCCCGTTTCATCTGTAGTAACTTTCCCATCTCCAATATCTAACAATTGTTTTGAGAATCTTTTGCACACAGCTTTTTTTGGTTGAATCGAAATCGAAGTATCGAAATCGTTCGCTATCTATCTTTATATATATTTCGACCATGAATTGTTGACAAAGCTTATGCATCGTAAAATAACTTAGTCCTGATCGCGTCTAATCATCAACCTATATGCATAATAATTTTTTGAACTAACATTCTTATTTGTCTTGGCACCTGTTGCGGGATCTTTTTGTTTAATATTTATGCAATACCCGTCATTTACTACCAAAAATAAAATGAATAGTTTTTAAATAGTTTTTAATAGTTTTTTAATAATTTTTTAATAGTTTTATTTAATATAATTCATTTTCAATAGCGCAGTTATCGACCTGGTCAAAAAATATTAAACCGATTTCAACCCTTTAAATTCAAAATTTCGAAAAATCCTATCTTAGCGCACATCTACATCATAATAGCTATCTCTATGCCAAATTTCAGCCAGATCCGTCCAATGGTTTGAGCTGTGCGTTGATAGCAGTCAATCAGCTTACTGTTTTATATAAACAGATGAAGATGATAATTTTATATCCGAGAATAATATTAATGTTATATTATGTTTTGTGTTTTTTATTTTCTTTGTTTAGATATTAACTGAACGCATTAGCCAACAAATACTTTACACTAGACATCCGGAGCCCGATAGTAACTGCAGATTAGAAAACCCAAGTAAGTTTTTTTGGTTTTATTTATATGCTATTATTACTTTTAATCTTACGGACGCATGCAGTATCAGACCATATAGTTTTGCGCGCGGGGTAATTATTTTCCGTTCAAATAAATTCTTCTTTTTATATTATTTATTATTTTTTTTATTATATTTTGTATATTATTGAATTCAAATAATAAAATATTTCTTTTATTTATTAATATACAAATATGAATGAATTAAAAAAAAATTTTATTTTATTTTATCGATATATATATATATATATTAATACAGGATACGATATTTTCTACCTTAGGACCCGTAAAAAAATAGACCATGAATCGATTTCGGTACTTGCATTTTTTGCCATGTTAATTACACCTGATTTTTCAGTTACTTTATTGTAACTTGGATTTGTTGTTCTTTGATTTAATTTACAACGGTACTATTTTGTCCTAGATTTTTCATAAAAACACTCAACACACAGTGGCGTATATATAACTGTTGTATGTGGGGAGAGATTTTTTGCAAACAAATCATTATTTTTCTTTTATCATAATTTTCTTTTTTTATTTTTCTAACGCCCTCACACTTATAACATTATTTTATAACATTTATAAAAATTTCTAAGGGGGGAATTGACCCCTCCCTTGTACATGCCACTGTCACGTATACTTAGTGGCACTTCATGGTCGAATTCATGATAACCTTCAAAATAATTTGATACAATTAGTTAAATATCATTATAAATCTTATCGCCGATTGACTCCCCTTATTTTCAGTGTTTAGACTCTCTAATGTATAATTATTTTCATCAGATAAACATTCGTTAGTAGAACATAAACCACCTCATACATCATCATCACTTATATCATCTAGTAGGAATGCAATACGACGACATTTTAATTTATCCATATTTTCACTGTGTAGAAATCAAAGAATATTAAACAAAAATAAGCGCACATAGGGTAAATTTTTGCTGAACTATGAACAGAACCTCTTTAGTATACGATTACTCACGTACAGATGTAAATACATCCCGATTGTTTCGTTTTTGTGATTGTATGATAGTGACTATAAGATAGCATGACTTATATGAATGTAAAAAATCCAACAAATAACTTACAGCAAAGTGAAAACCGTCTAGGGTAAATAATTACCTCGTGTGTCTCACTAAAATGTCCGTGAAGTTAGCCCCCCCCCACTTTGTCCTATCGAATTCAAACATTCACCAATATTTTGAAACTAATTTGGAACTATTTGGAACCAACTTTTTATAATTTGGAACTTCACCCTTTTCTCGAAATAAGAGATTTTCGGCTGGGGGGGGCTAACTTCACGCAGCCCCCCCCACTTTATCTTATCGACTTTAAACCTTTACCAATATTTCGAAACTAATTTGGAACTATTTGGAACAAAGTTTTCAGAATTTGGAACTTCACCCTTTTCCCGGAATAAGAGTTTTTTCGATCAGAGGGGGTACAAATCCACGCAGCCCCTTCCACTACTCACTTTGTCCTATCGACTTCAAACATTAATCAACATTTTGAATCTTATTTGAAATTAATTAGAATCTAATTTTCCGAAACACCTATAGTTAATATAGGCTACAGATTTAAAAACAAATAGTAATAATAAATTAAAATTGTGAGATTTAAAATTAGTTAATGTTTAAAAAAGGAAAATTAGTTATCTAAAAGAAAACAAATCTAAAAATTGCAAAGTTGAAATTTCAAAATTATATTTCTTAGTACATACTTAAAATATTATTTTTAGAAATCTGTTTTTCATTTTGGTAAAAAAATTAATTTGCATTAATAGCATCTATAAATGTTATATAATACCATAGAACATTTTAAAATATATCTTTATGATTAGCAGACAATTTTTTTTTATCATAGAAATATAATATTTAAACTCCGGACCATATGTGCCCTTAATATATTGCTATGCTCATTGTAGGGAGATTTCGGGGTATCTAAAATTGACATTTTGAAACTAGGAAGCATAATTTTGCTATCCATGTAAATATTTACAACATATAAACAACTATTAGCAACTTAAAAAAGTTATATCCTTCACCCAGGCATTATCAATTCAATGAGGAAAATTTTTTGGTTCCTCGTAGCTTTATATGGCATTAAACTTTAACATTACTATTTTAAACTGTCAATATAATTAGAAATTTACGAAAACTGTATTAAAATTAACTAAATATCTATGAACGTATAAAATATAACAGTAAGTATACTTCAATAATTTCGAACACAAACTACATTGTATAAGATAAAATTAATATTAATCATAATTTTATTGGTTTTCCTTATCTTGTCATAAATTTGATGTTATTTTGAACACAATACATTCAGGCTATTATTATTGGACAAGTCTATAAAGTGTTATTTTTATGAATTTATATTTAAATGGTTCAAATATACATGGGTCAAATATACATGTAGTTTTATACGTATGATATATTTTCAATACCGAGTTATTTTTATAACTAACAATTTGCAAGACCATTCATTTGCAGAACGCTGGTATAGTAAGATAGACTTTTCACTAACTAATTTAAAGTGACTTATTTATTATTTAGAGTCTAAATTTTAGAGTAATATATCTCCAGTATTTTTACGAGTGGATAATAGACAGACTTGGGTTAAATACTTTTTAAAAGTATTTAGAATAAATACTCGAATATTAACAAAAAATTGTATTCCGGATTTGTATTCAAATATATTATATAAATTATATTCCAAATACATTATTTAGAATACTTCAAAAGTATTCCGAATACTTTTAAAATACTTCTAGTTTTCATACTATCAAAATAATAAATGTAAAGTTCCAAATTCTGAAAACTTGGTTCCAAATAGTTCCAAATTAGTTCCAAAATATTGGTAAAGGTTTGAAGTCAATAGGACAAAGTGGGGGGGCTGCGTGAAGTTGGCCCCCCAACCGAAAATCTCTTATTTTGAGAAAAGGGTAAAGTTCCAAATTATGAAAACTTGGTTTTAAATAGTTCCAAATTAGTTCAAAAATATTGATGAAGGTTTGAAGTCGATAGGACAAAGTGGGGGGGCCAACTTCACAGGCGTCTCACTAAAGGTTAATTAAGTAAACCGTTTTATTTTTATTACACAACTTGTACACTATCTTATGTTTATTTCAGTGATTCTTAAAGTAGTTGCTACTCTTATTCGCCAAGCCAAGCCATCGGAACAATTGTTAGAAGTAAAGAAATTATTTTTGTCTGATATGACAATACTTTGTAGCAATAATCGTGAAAATAGAAGGACCGTACTACAAATGTCTGTTTGGCAAGTAAGTTACCGAATTCCAAATTTAAATGTATCCTACTGTTTTTAATCAATAATAAATTTTATCAGGAATGGCTCATTGCAATGGCTTATATCCATCCAAGAACATGTGAAGAGCAAAAAGTATCTGACATGGTATATAATTTATTCACTATGCTACTCCATCATGCTATCAAACATGAATATGGTGGTTGGCGAGTCTGGGTTGATACTTTAGCAATTGTTCACTCAAAGGTAATTACTTTTTTTTTTTTTTAATATATTTTTATACCAGATTAATTAGAATAATTTTTTCTGTAATTAGGTTTCATTTGAAGAATTCAAACTTCAGTTTGCCTTAATGTACGAACACTATGAACGTCAGCGTAGTGACAACATAACAGATCCACGTCTACGTCAGCAGCGACCAATAAGTACTATATCTGGTTGGGAAAATCAACCTCCAGCACCTCCTATAAATCATTCTCCAACCGAAACACCTGTATGCTTAAACATAAATTTAACATGATAATTTAATTAATCTTAAATGTTTTTATTTTTATCAGGAATCTGTTATTAGCACACCTGTAAAAGATATTCAAGGCCTAATAAATGACGAAAAAAACTGTGAAGTGGATTTACCAAAAGTCAATACAATTACAATCATAGATAGTGAAACCAAAAATCAAGAACCGATTAATGAAAATGAAAATGTAAAAAAGGAGACACCTACGGTTAATGAAGAAGAAGATGAACTTGCGAAAACCCAGAATAATGAACAAGAAACATTAAGAGAAACTATAAATAATGACAGTAGTACTTCAATAGAAATTAAAAACAAAAATCAAGATGTATTAAAATCGGTTGAAAACAAACTTGAAAATAATTTGATAGAAAAACCAAATCACGATTCATATTCATCTGAAGAGATCAAAATTAAAGACATAGAATTAACTAATAAAATTGTAGTTAATAATGACTTGGAAGAAACTAAGGAAAATAATATAAGTGTAATAGATTCACCCAATAAAAATGAAAATTATGTTATAGACCAAATCAAAGAAATAAAAAATGATGACTTATCTACAACAATATCTGTTAAAAATGAGCATATAATAAATTTAAACTTATCTGAAGAAATTAAGATATTGGATGATGCTGTAAAAAAAAGTATTCACCTAGATGATTCAGCAACTGAAAAATATTTACAAATTAACGGTGAATTACCTTTTGTAAATGATGAAAATATTATACATCATTTCACTGAAACTATCAAAAATCATGTGTTACCTAATAGTGATGATATAGATACAAAAGATATTGAAATACAGAATAATTTAAATACTTTTTTGAGTGAAGACCTTAAAGTCAATGTTACAGAAAAAGTAAATGATGTCACAGTGCCATTAATAACTGATTCTAACATCAATGATGTCACAAAAGAAAAAAAAAATGAAAATATTGTTAATCAAGACAGTATTAGTAATAGCAGTGATAGTGAAACCATTGTTAATTCTGAATGTTTGCAATTTGAAATTGATGATGGTATAGAAAATAGTGATCAAACAACTGTTGCACAATCAATATCTGTGATAACGGTTCAGACCTGCGACACAGTCGACAGCGATTGTTCAGAGGCGTATTTAACACCTAACGAACTCAACGATACTCCAAAAAAAATGTTAGAGAAAATAAATTTGAAGTCTTCTGATCTTACTAGTAATGTTAATGATGAAGTTATGTCTCAATTAAATCCGTCCTTAGAAACTAACAATGAAGTGAAAATTCCGTCCATACATGCGTCAGAAACAATCATAGAATTAAAAACAAATGTTGATTATATTGATAAAGTAGAAACAAATATTAATAATGAACTTAATGAGTCTACTGCTAAAATAGAAGAAAATATTAATTTAATAGAAGAAAATGATAAAGTAAATGAAATTACTGATAAAATAAAGGAACATATTGATGTAGCAGTAGAAAATGTTGAGAATAAAGAAAACAATAAATTGATTGAAAACTCTAATGAGATTGAAGTTGAGTATAAAAAAGATTTAAATATTGTTCTTCAGCCTCATAAGGAGCATAATAAAGATATTAAAGAAGGTATGTTTTACAATATAAATATGAGTGTGTAAAAAGAATTTGAAGTACATAATTCAATTTTTGCTCAACATAAAGTTTACTTTACTCATACTGAAATATGATCATTATATTTATTTATAATTATCATAATAAAGTAATGTAAATTATCAGTTTATAAGATTTAACTTTTTTTATCTATTAATATTACTATGTATATATTACGGTCCAAGTGGATAAATCAGTCATTGTAATACAGTACCCAAAAACATTGTATATAATATCTAAAATATTTGGGTAAAGTAAATAATACATATTGAATTCCAATATAGACTAGTAATTTTAATACAATACCTAGTTATTATATACGATGCTAAAACATGTGTAGGCAATGTGAATATTTTAGTAATTTTGTAGTGTTATCTTTAAAATGTATATTTTGCACTATGTCCTATGGGTTACAATACATTTATCACTAGTAATAAGTAATAGTATTGGTAGATAATCATGAATTTTTGGGCATTTTCAGCATACAATGTATGGCTATTTTTTGTCCATCAATAATGAACAATTCATATCGCAATTATTATTATCTTGGGATTTTATACAGCCATTTACTCATATCATAACCGACAGTACACATACTATTGTTTACGTATACTGTGTTATAATTGTGTTGTACTTGTACGTATTATTTTCCAAATGCAAAATACATTTGTTAATCGTTTAAATAATATTTTAGATGCTAAAAAACCTAACAGTACATATTTAAGTAAACTTAAATGTTATGTATTTATATTATATTTAATATAAAAAAAATCTGAAATAAGGAGATGCTAATGTAAAGCTGCTGGAATTGTATGCAACTCTAAATGTCATATTGGTAATACTTGTAAAAATAAATAGCTTTAATATTCATTAAAAATTAATATAAATAAAATATTCTCTATTTTTTTTACTAATCAAATCTATTAAAAACATATTAAATAAAATGATATATGTCAATAATATATGTATTTTGTTTACTTGGTACTTTCGGTACTGGTCGTTAAATGCAATGTCTGATTCATATGAATAATTATCTACATGGTTTGAATAATTAGGACATTATAAACTTTATCTGTTCAGTGATAACAATAACCTTTTATCTACTTGGACCGTAAAATATATATATATATATATATATATATATATATATATATATATATATAATTATATATTATCTATTACTAGTAATTTGAGCTATTTAAAATCTCATAAGAAAATTGCATGTGGTGTTATGTACTTCTTTTTCTAATTTTTTTTATTTTGGATTTTTAAATTTTGAATTACCTTTAATAATTGTTTATTTTAAAATTTTAGGAAAAGCGATTAAATCTGTTGCATCAACTGATAGTGTTACAGATAGTAATATAGAAACCAAGAGCTCAGAAACATCAGGTATTAACTTATTTAATATGAATTTATTTTTATAATTTTAATCCTAGCTATTAATCAAATTTTCTAATTTTTTTTAGTGAATAGTGTCGAAGAAAAAAATAATGAGAAGACTGATAAAAAACCAATTCCTTCCAATGCAGAAACGAGACCTATGTTCAATCCTGGCCCATCAAGACCGCCCTTTAGAATACCTGAATTCAAATGGTCTTACATTCATCAACGTTTACTATCAGATGTCCTCTATTCACTTGAATCAAACATTCAAGTTTGGAGAGGGTACATTACTTTATTTTTTAAAAATTTTACATGAATAATAATTTTATGGTATTTTGATTGAAGGCATTCGACAAAATCAGTTTTGGATTTTGTTAATGGATCTGAAAATGCAATATTTGTGGTTAATACTGTACATTTAATATCACAATTATCAGATAACTTAATTATAGCTTGCGGTGGACTATTACCATTACTTGCATCTGCTACATCGCCTAATGTAAGCTTTACATTTCCATACTACATTACATTGTACACAAAATAATTATATAATATTTCAGAGCGAATTAGATATTATGGAACCTACTCAAGGTATGACTGTTGAAGTTGCAGCATCTCTACTTCAACGATTAGTCAATATGGCTGATGTGTTAGTGTTTGCTAGTTCACTGAACTTTTCTGAGTTAGAAACAGAAAAGAATATGTCTAGTGGTGGAATACTACGACAATGCTTACGATTAGTTTGCACAAATGCTGTGCGTAATTGCTTAGAATGTAAAGAACGCAGTCGTCTGTTGGTGTTACCATCACAACCAAATAATCCAAAACAGTTACATTTACAATCACTTATTCGTGCTGGTCAATCATCACCTAAGGTAAATATTTTTATTTTTTTATGACTCAATTACATTTCAAGGTATTAATTATCTAGAGTTTAATTGATGGCTCTACAAATCCAATACGTGATCCAGAAAAACTATTACAAGAAATGGATATCAATCGTTTACGTGCAGTTATTTATAGAGATGTGGTAATTATTAAAAATGTTAATAAAATTAAATTCATTGAAACATGTGTAAATATATATATATATATTTTTTTTCTTCAGGAGGAAACCAAACAAGCACAATTTCTATCATTGGCTATTGTTTATTTTGTATCTGTGCTAATGGTATCCAAATATAGAGACATACTAGAACCACCAACAACATCATTACAAATACATGGAAATACTACTGCAAATAATAACCAAGCACGATCGGAGAGTCCCCCAAGTAATATATTTCATAAATAACCATTTATATAATATTTATTTTACTTTGTTACCTTTCACACACCATTTATAATAGTTTAGTGGCACTTAAATTTTGTGTCCCATTGTTTTGAACTTGAATTTTAATTGAATTCTTATTGTGCCCAGATTGTCATGGTACAAGACCGTTGTTTCCTCAATGGTCCCATCATGTCTATCCCCAATTCCTACCTCCATCTCATTCGATAGATCCACAAATGCCCCGTAACTTCGGCCACCGCAACATTATGTCACATTACGCTGCGCCCTCGTTAGGACAACAAGGTCAGATTATGTTCTACCGAATGTTTTTTTTTTCCTTGTCCAATTTTTGATTTGGTCTTAGATAGCACTGTGTTATGCTTGTAAATTAAAAAAGAAAAAAAAAAAAGAAAAAAGAACCATGCTCAATTTTATTTATTTTTAATGTAGCTAGTATTTATCCTTCATTCATTAATTTAATTGCCTCACTACCATGCAAATTAGTCTCTATTAATACTCAACATTTATTATTTATTTGATATTGTTTTCTAAACTAAATATTTAAAAAAAACAGTTTTTATTATAAAGCAAAAGTATAGTCAAAACATTATAATGAGTATTTATACTATTAACATTAAACTGAAAAGTGCTAAATACAATATTATATTTTATTAAAATTATTAAAATAATTTATGTATATATCAAACAGTCATATTATTTTAAGCAAAATTACTCTTTTGTTTGATATACATATAAAATGTATTCCTACTTAAGTTGACTTTTGATGCATTTCTCGTGTAGAATTATATATAGTTAACAACTTAGTGTGCTCAAATTGTATAAAATAATTTGAATACTTTAGTTATGGATGCTAAGAGATCAATCAATAATTTTTAATTGTTTTCATTCTATGCAATATGTAAAACAATTATTATGTTGCATTTTTTATAATACTACTAGAGTTGTGTTTAAAATGCATGGAAACAATTTACGTTTTATCAGTAGGGTAGTATGCGTGTTTAATTTTCAAAATTTCCAATTAATTAAAAAGTTCAGTTCATTTAGTTTGTTTAATTGGCATTAGAAATAGATGGCATGTCAATAACATTAAGAGTGTATATAAACGTTGTATTATGAAAACCATTAAAATTTGTTTCAGCAGACGAGGAAGACTATAACACCATGATGACATCAATGGAAAATTTAAACCACACTTCACAAGTGACAAGTACCCCATGCAACAAGGTAAATTGGTACATTTATTTTTATTTTTCATTTATTTCAGTTAACAATGGTGTTTCTAGTGCTCTACCTTAGTACTCATCCTGTGAACACTTATTTATTTAATATATATCAATATTATAAATTTAAATATATTTAATACATGTGTTATAGAAAGTAATGTTAAGTAATAAATCAAATGTGATTGTCATTTAATTTTTAAATTCTATGATTGTTTTGGTTTTCATAAAATCTTAATATAATTTTTTTTATTTGTGTTAACACTTATAAGAATATTTAATTAAATTTGTAATGTTTTCTGGAAATTCCACATTTTAGTTTAATATTTAAAAAACACATATGCTTATTTGTTTTTTATTTTTTGTTATAATGGTTTTTTTTTTATGTGTCTTTATATTATATTCATCAAAAATGTGGAATATTGTTCTATTGTGTTGTTTTATGTTAATTTATATAGCAACTGCTCAGAGTACCATCAGTAACATCGTTCAACAATTATAACTTATGCTATCGCCGTAGAGTTCTAAGTAACAAAAATATTAAGGCTCCAAAAAAGGTACTGGCTTTGAACGCCAACCAAATAACACATTGTTTTTCAACACGAAAGTTAGGTTTTAAAATGCACACCTGCTACTATTGAAAAATGATGTATTAAATATTTATTATATCACTATTTATAAACACTATGTATATTTTAGTTTATTTAGTGCACTTATGCTTAATGTTTAATTTCTATAATTTGTAAAACAGTTTCTTTTTAGAAAATAACTAATTTTTACTATATTTATAATAATAATTTTAATGCTTGTTTAGAGTATATGTTCTGAAGAATTAGCATCCACTAGTTCAGCAGCATGTAGTGATGTTGAAAGTAATGATACTGACGTTAAAGCAAGTACTATAACTTCTACACATAATGATGAAGCTTGGACTGATGTAAATCTCAATGACGACTCACAATCCAATAATGAGGAAGATGGGAGAATCCATAGAGGTTAATAGACTAACTTTTTACATATTTATATTTACCATTTAATAATTATTATTATAAATATTACATATTAATATAGTAATACCATTAACAAAAACTTTATTTTTATTTTTTAGCATTATATACATACCATTTAGGCCCTATGCTGCCAATACTAAATTCTTCCACTCCTCTCTATTATATGCATGATTTATATCCCCATACCAGTCTGGTCTCATCTCCTGCAGGTCTCTTTTAACTATATCTAACCACTGTCACTTCGGTATATCACGCAGTCTTTTTCTGTTCAAATTGTTCACAAGTACCGTCTTGACAGTACTATTACTATTCAATAGTACTATTGTCGGCTCTCCAGACATGACCTATCCATTCTAGTCTTGCACCTTTAACAAATTGTACTATACTTCCTTTACCATTTAATTGGTGTACCTGTTCATTTGATCTTCTCTCCCATACTTGAGTACCAGGGTTAAAGACGGGACTATATATTTTCCTTAACACCTTTCTTTCAAAGATATTTAGCCTATTTTTATCTCCTGCTGTTGCAGCTCAGGTACAACATGCATATGACACAGCTGGTCTGAGATACATAGTGTATAGTTGCTCAGTTTTTCTGTACAATAATTTTGACTTAAACAGATGTGCTATAGCAAAATAACATCCATTTCCATCTTTTAGACGGAGTTTAATTTCATTATGCATACAGTTTATATTATTTAAGTTGACACCAAGGTATTTAAAATCTTGTAATTGTTGTAAGAATATCCCATTAACTTCCAAATCTGATTCATCTTCAGTATCTCGTACTTTCCTAGTCATGAACATATATTTGGTTTTTTTCCTGATTTATCGACAGCCCCGTATGTTTGCATATTTCCATTAAGTTTGACATACTGTTTATGATATCCTGCTTCTTATCGCCCAAAGTTATTATATTGTCAGCATAGGCTAGTAGTAGAGTAGTATTTTCAGGAACGTCCAAACACAGGAATGCACCTTATGCATTCTGCGCATGCGCGTAATTTATTCACCACTATCATAATGTTAGGTTGTTATCAATATATTATATCAAATCACTATAATACAATAATAATATGAGTTTTGAATCAAACTATTAAAAATTTAATTACGTCTTATCTAAATAATATATTGTAGTTTTATTTTGGTTGTTAAAGAATAATGTTTAGTTTAATAAATTAATGTAATAAAAATAATAAAATGTTAAATAAAGTGGTTAATAAACATGTTAAATGTGTAAAGTATAATAATAATATTTAAGTTTTTACATTTTTAATCAAAACACATCAATTAATTTTATTTCTTAAAATAAGAATGTTCAGTTTCTACTCTAGTTGGTTTTGATAATTCATTGAGTTTTTCCTGGTTTTTTTTTTTTTTTTTGTACTGAAGAATGTGTCTTGTATTTTAAATTTTTTATTTGGTGGTTCATATACTGTCTTACAAAAATCTTCCAGTGTCTCGTCATTATTTGATGTTGCATCAATGAATGCTTCTATAGAGTTTAATTGTTTTAATACCTATTGGCTAGGTTAATGACCTTTTCTTTAAATTGTTCTTGCATATTTATTGTTTTTTTATTTTCCAATGTCTTAATATGAACTTGTATTTCATTATCTTTGTTCGAATGTGCATCAAAATTGGTATTTTCTGTATCTGCTGCTGACTTAATAGTAATATCTTAAGAATTTTCTGTTGACATTGTTTTCAGAGCAACATAATCAATGTACTTACATATCATTGACTTGATTTAGTAATCAGGACAAGAACATTGAAATTTGTGAATACACAACTTACAAATAGAACATATCATTGGACAACATACATCATCATTATTTTTTTTTATTTTATAAAGCTGTCTTGGTGTATATTCACTTTCAACAATCCAGTCATTAACACTATCCTGATTGATTGTAAGATCAAGTAATATACTCTTATTGTGTCTTTTTTTTATTTCTTGTATCCTTTTACTTATTTTTCCCTTAGTTAATTTTATAATTCTTTCAACTTTTTTATTACGGGTATATCTTCTAATAGCTGTTATACTTTTATCTAACCGCCCAACTTTGCAACCACTTAAATAGTGATATTTTATTGTTTTGTGCATAGATTATAGATGCATATTACAATTTACACCAAGACCTTTCCGATAACAGTATGCCCACAAACCAACTCTATTTCCATACATGTGATCAAAATATATACCAAAGTCTCTAGTATCTGAATCATTCATTAGCTCATGGTTAAATTCTTTTAAAACATTATTAAAATTGTTTTCATCACACATTGATTGAAAAACTTTTAGAGATGTATATATAGTTCCTTGTTTTTCCTTGCGTGTAGGTCCATTTATCTATAAGACGTAATTAAATTTTGAACAGTTTGATTGATAACTCATACTATTATAGTGATTGATAAGATAGATTGATAACAATAGCCTGACATTATGATAGTAGTGAATAAATTACGCGCATGCGCAGAACGCACAATGTGCATTCCTGTGTTTAGACGCGCTTATATTTTCATTTACTTCCATTGTCTGTCTCTGTGGCATTCTCCTTATCACACTTTCTAACGCTAAATTAAATAGCACTAGTGATAATGCATCACCCTGTCTTAGTCCTTTACTTACTTCAAAAGGATCTAATAGCTCCCCTTTTACCCGAACCATACATTTTGTGTTGCTGTTCATAATTTTATTAAATTTACTTAGTTGGGAAACCTAAATTTATCAAGTTTTTCCATAACTTACTCCTAATTATACTATCATACGCTTAATTAAAGTCCACAAACACTAGCTGGATATCCTTATTATATTCATTATGTTTACTTATGATTTGCTGTAAAGTGAATATGTGAACTATCGTTGACTTCACATTCCTAAAGCCACACTGGTAATCTCCAATCATTCGCTTTAATATACACTGTATTTTTCTTAGAAGGAAACATAGGGTATTATTCCCTACATAGTTTGTATTTCCGGTTTCTCTTCTACTCTAGCCGCATGGAGATCCAGTGTATCCTTTATTCTCAACTGGAATCATTGGAGTATACTTTCATCTTCTAGTATATCCACATTGAACCTATGATTGTTTGTTTTTTTATTTTTCGCTTTCCACTGGTTTGATAATATTATTTTTACCTTAACTAGCACTAGGAAATAGTCTAAGTCACCAACAGTTCCCCTTTTTGGTCTTACATCCTTTACACATAATCTATGTACTTTATCAACCAAGACGTGGTCTATTTGACTTTGGTATATTCCGTTGGATGCAGTCTACGTGAATTTATTTAAATTATTCCTGGAAAGAAACTACTGCTAATTGCTACTACAATAAGGCCATTAAATATTGCGAATTCCACTAATCTGATACCGTTTCCATTACTCATATCATGTACAATCTCCTATTGCCTATTATAGTTTAATATATCGTATCTCTACCTACTTGAGAGTTAGTCTCCTAATATGATTTTTCTACAGTGTTTAGATAGGCCATTATACACTCTTTCTAATTCATCATAGAATTTATCTTTCAAATCTTTACCCGCTTTTGTAAGCGAGTATACACATATCAATATAATGTCATATTATTTACCGGCTATATGAATATAACAGATTCGATCATTTAGTGGAGTGAATTTCTTTATAGAATGTAAAAGTTGGTAATTTACTGAAAAACCTACTCTATTCTCATGTTTTCCATTGGATGTTCCGCTATACAATAATGTTATTTCATTAGCTACTATACATACTGTACATTCCATTTGCTTTCACATTTCCTTCCCCAGGCCATCTGACATCCTGCAGAGCCACTATTTGAACTTTCTTGTATTTCTTCACCGTGTCACTTATAGACTTAAGTGCACCTGGTTTATAAAGTGATCTGATTTTCCGAGTTCTAATCCTATATTCCTGTAATCCGGGCCGTTTTCGAGTTATATCTAAAATCTGAGTCCTAGGCAAGAATTGTATTAGTTTCTTAACATTGGTTTTTGTACGAGGCGGGTTGTTAGCCATCCGCTCAACTCCCAGTCCGGAGAGCCAGACCACACCAAACTAATTAAAGTCAGTGTGGAGCTCAGGGCCCCTGGTTCACCATACCTGTAACACTGTGAAGTGTTTCCTCTGGGGTATTAACCAGAGTTATTTATATTAAAACCATCTTTTATAAAACCAAAGCTTAATTAATTTTTAATAATAATCTTAATTTAATGTATTGATTGTATCATATATTATGATATTATTTCTTTTGTCAAGCACATTGTTATTTAATTTAGAGTTGTAGGTTCTTAGCATTGATTTAAGTATTTTTTTGTTTTTTTTTTTTTTTTTTTTTTTTTTTTTTGTAAACAATTTTAGTGTAGTAAATTTGTTCTAAAAATTGTATCCAAATAATTAAATTATCAATAATTTCTATCATTACCTAAATATTTTAATATTATCTAATATCTTAACACAAAATTTATCATACATTATAAAGATTACAATCACTCAATCTTGTTTTAAATTATGAAAATCTTATTAAATCAATGCTGTTTACATTTAATTTAATTTTTAAATAAATTTACCTCTTATATTATAAATTCAAAATAATCAAGTTTCAATACTAAACATTGAAATAATATATATATATATATAATATCACATTAAAACATTTAAATGTTCTAAATTTCCACAGATGTACGTGGAGACAAACCACTTAGTGAAATATCTGTAGTTAACGTCCCAGCTTCGATTACACAAAATGTGAACATGCAAAATCCTGGACATAGTATTGAAGATTGTGGTTTGAAAAATGTTAATTTACCACATCAGACGCACATACCTAATAGAGAGGCGTCTCTGACGCATAAGTTGGAAGCAGCACTGGGTTCCGTGTGTCCACTTTTACGTGAAATAATGGTTGACTTTGCTCCTTTTTTATCAAAGACCCTAGTGGGTTCTCATGGTCAAGAGTTACTAATGGAAGGCAAAGGTAAATACATTAAATCATTTTAATGGTTTACAAACATTATACACTATAAATGGTTGTTCACATAGAGCTAAAATCTATATTAAATGTAATACACATTCCAGGGCGTGTCTAAGGAGGGGGTGTTCGATCCCTCCCTCAAATTTTATCGAATTTAAAAAAAAAGTATTTATCAATATTTTCTTTTTACAATTTATGTTTAATATTATAAACATTAGGCAGAAATATTAATATAATACATTTTCGATCCATCTAGTACTATAAAATTAATTGTTACTAAAGTTATTAATTTGTGGAATAAATACTTTTGAAGTACTTGGTAGTAAAAATATTGAACCCCTCTTCAAAAAAAAAAAAAAATAATAATAATAATAATAATTTTAGACAAGCCCGTGACATACACACATAAAATATCTTAGTTCTAGAATTTCCATTGATATTCACAATGAAATGATTTCAACTGAGATATAATGAATAAAAAAAAAAAAAAAAAATGTAAATTCACCCCAACAGCGTACCCTCATTTAATTTATTTTCAATAATAAATCAAAATAAAATATTGTTTTAGTCAATATTTTTAATCTCTACATGTAATTCAATATGTTAACAATTAAATTGTTTATTTTTTAATTATTATACAGTTTTAAATTTTCTCTGATAATTAAGTGAACAGAAAGTGGATTTCTCAAATTAATTATTTTGAATTTTAGGATTGACAACATTTAAAAACAGTCAGTCAGTAGTTGAACTGGTGATGTTGTTGTGTTCTCAAGAATGGCAAAATTCATTGCAAAAGCACGCTGGTCTTGCTTTTATTGAACTTATCAATGAAGGACGGTAAGACGATTTATTTTGTAATATGTGGGATTAAGTGGTTTTGTGAAATTCGTTAGTAAAATTGTACATGGTGTCTCATCAGATTGTTGTCGCACGCCATGAAAGATCATATCGTTCGCGTGGCCAACGAAGCTGAATTCATATTGAACAGGATGCGTGCTGATGACGTATTGAAACACGCCGATTTCGAAGTACGATTGTATACTTGAACTGGACAATTGTTCAGTGAATGTTTTTTATTGATTTATTTATTTTTTTAATTTTATTTTGAAATCATTTTCCTCGTATATTTCCAGGCTCAATGTGCACAGACAACGCTGGAACGCCGTGAAGAAGAGAAAATGTGCGATCATTTGATAACGGCTGCTAGACGACGTGACAGCGTAGTGGCCAGTCGTATTTTGGACAAAATCTGTAATATACTGTCGAACAAACATGGAGCTTGGGGTTATCTTCACGAGAACATTCCTATAAGGTTAGCATAATTTTCACAAAGCAATCCTGATGAATGTTCGGCCCATTACTGCAGAGACGCGCGAAAAACGCTTGGGACAATATCACATACAACTCATTTTAAAATACTTGATAATTCATTTCTGCAAGCACATTTCTGGATATACACGTGTATCGAGGACGCGTATTTTAGGCGTATATTTTTCTCATTTATCGTTAACTATTGATAAATAGATAAATCCTTATAAGGTTTGTTGAAAATTACAGGTGTATTTACTCGTCGAGGCGTCTTTATTGATATGCTTTATCGGTAAACTATTGTATGCCCTATACATGTGTATAATTTCGTATTTAGTTACGTTTCGATTTTCTGTCCTCGAGTAATCGCACGTACTATTTTAAGTTAAAGCTTATAACACGCAATCGCGAAAACATTTCAATGAATTTGGACGAATACAAATTTCGTTGTTCTAGAATAAATAAAAGATTGGATGATATTTTTTAGCGGTGTGTGTGAAAAATTTTACAGCTGAATAATTACCACAGACAACGAAAAACCGTTTCATACATTTCTATATATTTTTTTATAATCTTAATATTTTTATGTACGGTACTGGGTTGTTCATTTTGTACGGTATTGGATTATGTATGTGCGGTGATGGAAAGCACTGGGAAATTAGTATTGCATTATTCTACTTTAATGTTCACCTCCTTTCCCGTCTTAGAATGTCTCAGTTTTGGAAGTTGGACGTTTGGGAAGACGACGCAAGGCGTCGTAAAAGGTTTGTGCCTAACCCGCGAGGAACGACCCACCCGGAAGCCACATTAAAAGCTGCATTGGAACACGGTGCACCGCAAGACGCTATTTTACAGGTAGAATTTTTTTGGTTTAAATTTATTTTATTTCTTTCTCTGTATTAACTTGTAAAACTTCGCCATGTTTTTATGTTGTCCCAGGCGAGAGAAGAAGTTTTCCACGCTCAGCTTGTGGCCATGAGCACACAAAGCGGTCCGGGTAGTCAGTCTTCAGATCTACTCGATGATTCGGAATTGATGACTGATGACAGAGAGCTGGACGCCGACCTCGTTGGTAAATAATAAGAATAGGTTGACCGCGAAACTTCACAACAATGAAATTTAAATAATATTATCGTGTAAAAAGATGTATTAACATGGGTATAAATTGTCTATACTCGTTTATTCGTTTACATTTTCACTACTTGTGTAAATTTTTTTTTTAATTCTATCACATTAAAATTAATTAAGAAAATGTGTGTTGTTGTACAGGTCCGGTAAATATTAGCACAAAAGCGTCTTTGATATCCGCTGGAGTTGTTGCACCTGGTATAGTATCTATAACGTCTGCAGAGTTGTACTTTGAAGTCGACGAAGATGATCCAGAATTCAAAAAACTAGATCCAGAGGTTAGTGTTTATATTTTAATTTTAAACGTTAACTGGTTTTTTCATCTATATATCGTTCACATTCAAAAAACAATAACTCTCGGAGATGTACTTACTTTTTAGATATGCTGAAATAGTGACTTAAGGAATAAAAAATAACATGAAATATAACCACAACTGGCTTAGATATTTTTAAAAAATTTGATAATTTTGATAAATTGGCCTAATTTGGACTGACTGCATTGAAATATGTTCTAATAGTGGACCAACTATACTTGGGAGTTGAATTGAATTATTGGAGAGAACATTTTGGCTTGGGTGTCATGTCTGCACATTGAAATATTTATTTTTTCTAATAGAAAAAACTACTCGTTGGCTGCAAATTTAATGAAGTGTGGATAACCAAGTTGGCTCTTTTAAGTGGTATTTTTAAATTGTTAAATGAGTTTAATTTTAAAATGCTAAGGAAAAATTGAATAATGATATTGGTGTGAAATTATGATTTCAATTACTTGGATTACTATTTTTTATTTTTATTTTTCTGTGGTCACCACTAGTTTAATTTTAAATTTCAGGGTCATAAAAGGTTCATAAAAGGTTAGGAAGCACTAGTCTATAGTCTAGTTTGTCACTTACGAAATAAATAATTATCATCCCTCTGAACTTTTTAAATTTGCCGCTCCTTTAAATTTTCAATAATTTATCGCTTTGGGCAACAGGACTTATAGCCTCTACCTAAATACTCCCTTGTATTTATAAATTTATCAATACATAGTATTTGAAGTATTATAACTTGAATAATATAATATAGAATGTTCAAAACATTATTATAAGATATCTTACAAATTATATTATATTTTTAACTATAAGTATTAACAAAAAATAATGATTTGGTATAACATGTATATATGATTATCAAACAATAATTCAAACCATTTAAACTCATTTTTATAAACATCTTCCGTCGATTTAATATATATGTATTGTATTCTTGCGAAACTTAAATGGCCCTGGGACTCTGTAGAAATACAAATTTATAGTAGCTATACATATGTTTACTATTTTTCCATTTAAATTTATGTCTTAGAAATCGAATAAATCAGTGCCATGTACTCGTATGTCGAATTATTTATTTTCAATTTCAGTGAGTATTGTTACAGTTCAGATAATAATAATGAATAAGCTATATCGAGTCAAGTTTTAAAACTTATTGGACAAATAGGTCACCGAGACCCATCGTTCATTAGGCTTGTCGATATGGGGTACTTAAAGTGACGGACAAGCATTGAAAGCATATTATGATTGTTCATTTTACTCTTTTTTTGAGTCAATCCATATCATCAGTATTACTCATTATCCTTTCAATTATTCAAATCTCGTTATTTCTTAATTGTTTTTGTTAATATTGTTATCAATTTGCTTATTAAAGAATATAGTAGACTTCCGCGCGTTGTATATTTTTCGTTGGCCATTACAAGTTGGACTTGACTTTATAAAATGTTTGTACTCGTAAATACGAGTATTCGATTTTACTCGACTTAAATCATGTACTTGACTTTATTTTACTACTTTATTGAAAAATAAATATTAACTATAAATAGCAGGGATCCAAATACTTCCAATAGAAAATATCAGGAAGGTTTTTTTTTTTATTTTTAATTTGCCTTTGTTCGCACATTAATCAGGAAGGTTAATAGTTTTTAATTAATAACAATAGATTGTTTTTGCTTTGATATTTTATTATCATGCTAAGGAAATTTTGTGTAAATTGATAACCACGATTTTTTATCAAGTAGGTACTCAGCATTTTTTGATTACTTAAATTTTGAACTCATCGTCCAACTCTAATAATATGTGATCAAATAAAATACGAAACTACATGTATGAAGAAACGAATGTGTAAACGAGTTCTAATTATCAATGTTGGTAATAGATAATGCAAAATTTATCTAGATAAAGATGAAAGATAATATGTCCAAATTCATCTAGATAAAGAAAAAATAATTTCATTTTTATCTAGATAAAAAAAAAGATATTTCAAAAAATGTTATTTTTTGGTCAATATTTCAAAGTCTAATAATATCTATGAAAACTCAATTATAATCATTATTATAATTTATTATACATTATTATCAATAGGTACCTAGGTGTTTAATGTTTATTGTAGTAATGTAGGTAGTGTACTATTAAGCAGTATTAATATATAATGTACAATATTTAATGGTAGTTAGTCATTAAAATGTTACACAAAAAAAAAAAAATGAAAATTGCTCTGTACGTATCAGGATGAATACAGAATACATAAAAAATTATTTTAAGTTAATAATATTGTTTTCCATATAATATTAATTTGATGATTTTCATCATTCTATAAGTAGTTACGACTTTACGGGTTCCAAGAGAGAAGTAATGACTATTCAGCGTATGAGTGACATGTTTATATTAAAATCAAATACCTATTATATTTAGAACTTCCGTGAAAAAATAAGAAATTAAGTTTAAAAATACCAAAAATATTTACCCGACATAAAAATTCAAACAAAATGTCATACCAAGAAATAATAATTACTTATTAATAATACACGAATTATGATTATGAATACAAAATCTATATGTATGAAAGAAAGTCAGGTTATTTACAGAAGTTATAAATCAAGAACGGCTGGACCGATTTTGTTGATCTCTGATTTGTTGGATTCGTCTCCGTACAAGAATAAAAATAACTCTAATCTTGGCAAGAATACAGACAATTATCTAGATAAATAAAAATTTTATCTTAGATAAGTAATTAGATAACTTAGCGTTATTTATCTAGATAAGATAAAAGATAAAATCTATCTAGATAACTTATCTAGATAAGTCTCAACACTGCTTATTATGTGGTAGATATTTAGGTCTTTGATAATGTGTCTATATAAACATATTATTTATATGAAAATTAAAAATAAAAACAAGCACGTGGTGTATATAATTAGTTTATGTGGGCCAGTATCGTTTAATGTACATATTTTAATATGCTAGTGCTTTATTATTGTACATAAATTATATATTTACTTCATTAATGTTCATAAATCGTTATAAAAATAAAATGGTTTAAGCACATATTCTTACGTCATATCGTTACTTAAATTGTTATATTCTATTATATACATATTACATATTATATTCATATATTATATGAATGCATGTGATGTGTGGGGTGATTTATAAATCTGAATCGACTACTGTTGAACATTTTTGTCACGACAAAACCCATCGCTCACGTTCGCGCGCGAGTTTATTTCATAAAAATATATATATTATAATATTATGTGGATCGCGGCATGGTACCCATATATATATATATATATATAATAACAGTGTGTGCATAAGCAACCGTATTTTAATGTAATGGTAAACGTTAATAATTTACTGACATCAAATATTGATAGGTTATTTCATATCCGATAGTCATAACTCATCGTCATCTTCGTCATCGTCGTTCCGGCCGGTAGATCCTCCGAGACGAGATTGCACTGCACGTATCCCACATGCATATTATTGTACATAGTATAGATGTGTATAATACGCGCGTCTGATGATGAATAGTGAAATTATTGTAATTCAATATGCGCGTGCGTGTGATGAGGCATCCGATTGAGTGGAGGCCTAAGTCATCGTTATTACTCGAATATATGACTTGAGGCCACCGCTGCCGTGTATCTGTCAAACACTACTGTTCGGACATACACATACTTCAGAAGAAATATTCCAATGGAATCAATTACCCAAGACAACCGGTATACGGTTTATGCGTGTCGTACCCGTGAGGTCCATCGGACTCGGAAGATTTCGCGTGTACGTATATATTTAGTTAATCGATCTACCTCCCTCATATACATATGTACACATGAGCGTATATTATGCGCAATGCAATGAAGTCGAATACCAACGGATAGTAGACAAAAAACATTAAACAAATTAAACGGTTTTAGGCTTACATAGTTTTCTTGTTGTGATTGGACGATTGGACGACACAGCGGCTTGCCGCGTAAATGTTAAGTGCATAATATATAAATTAAATTTTGAGAATAGTAAAGAGTCACCGTTGGTAGTGTTTTTTAAGATTTTAAGATGAACAGTTTCTGTATAGTTGTGTACATAATTACTTGTTCGTAATGCGAGATAAAGGATTGTTTTTGAAACTAATATTTACAAAAAATACTCGGTATGGTCGGTTTTTTTTATAAATTGATTATATATGATGAATCATTATATCAGTACTTGCTGATTTACCCAACTTCGCTCTGATTAATTTTTAATAATTGTTGTTATTATTTTAAAGTATAAAAATGTATAATTCTTATTTAACTGAATAATAATCGTTAAAAGTACTGAATCGATGCCTAATATTTTTGGTTAATCTATGTTTTACTAACACAGATAAATTCGATCGTTTTCCTACGTCGTGTATGCAACGTATACGAGTAGATGTCCATGGGACAAACATGGATTTTCCAAGTCCAAGCCGCAAATGGACATGTTTTACCTTTAGACTTATTTATGATTATTCCGAAAGTTAAATGAATAGAAAATTTAAATCTTTTGAATTTTGTAAGATATAATGAGCTAACTACGTGGATACAAGAAGATTTATCTTTTAAACTTTCCAGTCAAAACGTTTGCTTTAAGAACATATATTGTGATATTTTTGATGACTAATGTAAAATTGGTTCCATGTAAAATAGCATGGAACATTACCAAATATATATATATATATATATATATATATATGTATGTATGGTTAGGTTATATATATATATATGGTTATGTATTATTATTATAATGTTTGTTTATTTTTGGTGGCTTATTATCTTGTTTATTATTTAAATTCAATTTTTCATATTTATGGTATATTTAATAACTACAATACTACTACAAATAAAATATATATATATTTTGTAGTTGGTTGACAGGCATAATAAAAATACATTATCACGCATGTTTACAATTCCGTACTTAATGAAGTTTCACGATTAACT